TCAGAAGTGATGTGTCCCTAGGGAGCTCTCGCAGTCCTTGTCTTGGCACAACCAAGCCCCCAGCCAGCGTGGTTTTGGCAAGCCAGGAGTGCCCAGGGCTGGTTGGCAGAGCTGCTCTGGTACAGAGCTGATGGCTCAGACTGCCCAGTGCCATCTCCTTCGTTCCCAGTGGGTTCTGGTGGAGGCTGGGGCTTCTTCCAGCCTAGTGCTCGGCTGTTTTCTGATGGCCTGCCTTGTGTGTATCCATAATTACATTGTGGTGACACAGCTACAGTTTCCAAACCCATACACAAATGCTTAATAACCCATGGGAATGCTTTCCCATTCGTTAAGGGGCGCAGGCTGGGTCCATTTCCCCTGGTCCTGCACAAGCCAAGCGTGGGGCAGCATCTCAAGGCTGGTCCCCTGTCTGCTGGGGACCTGCCCTGGAGTGACACCACCTCTTTCCCCTGCATCATCCATCAGACACTCTGGAAATGGAGGCAGACAGTAGCAGGGGTAAAATTTTCCATTGGAAAATGTATTTTTTATCAAACTACATTATCAGAATCGGCATGTAGCCATGGAGCCAACATTCAGGTGGGAGAATATTGAAGCAAATAATTCTAGCTTCTGACTTTTGACAGTGTCCAGGAAATTCAAATGTGTCTCTTTGATTTGATGTGTTTTGACTTTTATGTTTTAATTTAATATCCAGGTTGTATTTAACATTTTATTATGGTTCGTGCTTGAGAAATTAAATACTTTTTCCCCTTACTGCGGCAAAATTCCTGAATATTTCCCAGTGAAATTCCAGGGCTTGGGTTTTTCCTGAGTCCTGTCCTGCAGGTGATTTTGATTCACTGAGTTCAGTGCAAGACAAATCTTTTCATTTAGAAACCTTGCACAAATCAGATATTGTTTTCTATTAGGCATTTTCTGAAAATTCATGGTTTTCTGGTTACACATGCCTTGGCAATACCCTGGAGCAGGTTTGGGGATCTGGGGAAGCACTATATGTCCTTGTCTGGTATTTGGAGGTGCTGCTGAGGCAATGTAGAGGTAGATTTACTTATGGTTTTGACCAGACCACCAAGGGATGGAGGTGTCTGGGGAGCACCATGTCCTGTGCTCTTGTGGGTCCACTGCTGGGGACGGTGCTGGGAGGTGGCAGATCCCTCTGGTGGGATGCCGTGGGGTGCATCCCTCTCCCTGCTGTGGGACAGACAGACCACTCTGCTCTGGCTGACACCATAACAGGGTGGGGGAGCCACAGACTAAAGCCTCCTCTGCACCCCCAGGGACCCCTGAGGGAAGTGGAGCTGTAGGCAGAGCTCAAAGGCCAGAAGAGCCGCTGCCGGTGCCTGTTGGCTGCTTCCATGCACGTGAGCACGTGCGTGGGTGCTTGTGCATGCATGTGGGGATAAAGCCACTTTCCAGGCAGTTCTTTTAACAACCAAATGACAGCTTGTTTGCTGCTAGGATTGCAGGCCTGCCTGGCAGAGGCTCCACGCTAGAACTTTGGAAGCTGCCGCCAGCCAATAGCCAAACACATTTGTACGGGATCAGTCGACAGCGTGTTCCAGCCTCCGGCTCTGGCAGGGGGGGAAAATAATCTTCCTGATATATGTGTTTCAGCACCAATTATCCAAGCCTCATTTGCTCTAGACTCACAAGACCATGTCCCATGACATCTATTAATTGCATTAAAGATCTCTCATTATCCTAAATCTCCAGGATGCCAAGTTGGAGTGGCTCAGGCCCAGGTTTTCAGGAGGGCACATGTGTGTGTGAGCACACGGGATGGAGGATGCACCTCATTCAAGGCAGGCAGGGCAGGCACAGCCACAGCCACTGCAGGCAGCAGTGGCGTGTTCCTCCCAAGCCTCTGTCCCCAGTTATTCCCAGCTGGGTTGTGGCTGATCCCTGGGGCTGGATGTGACACTTGGCTCGGAGCAGCCTGGCAGAGCCTTTCCGGTGGTCCCTGAGGAGTCGGTTCCATGAGGGAAGGATGCTGCCAGCACTCCGCACCACACGCCGCCAAGCACGAGCCCACTGCCCCTTCTTTGCCAAATACTTATTGTTCCTGCTTTGAACTTCTGCAGAACGAGGTTTGCCAAGGATCCAACATGAATCATTAATTAATTCCTGGAGGGCTTTTTAAAAAAATGTTGTTTATTTGTTTGTTTTGAGTTTTTTTGGTTTTGTTTTTTTGGTGTGTGTTGTTTTGCTTTCATAATTGAAAGCAGGGAGAGGAAGGAAGTGTAGGTGCAGGATAGCAGAGGTGCAGTCAGAATCATTTCTCCATCCATGGTCAGGAGGGTGCCATGGGTGCCGTGCTTCCCTTGCTCCTTGGGCTGGGCTGTGGTTGCTGCTGGAGCTATGGGCACGCAGATTCCTGCCCCTCAGCCTCAGCTCTCATCCTGACTGCCAGGATCTGTGTGGGCAAACATACCCTCCTCTAGCTGGGAGCATCCCTCTCCCCTTGTCACCCTCCTCCTTCATCCTGTGTCGTGGTTGGGTCTCCTCTGGTATTCACAGTTCTGGGGGTGCCCTTTGCCAAGAGCCTTGTTGGATGCAGGGACCCTGAGGTTCAGTATGGAATTGCACTGCTTCCTTGGAAACGTCATTCCTTGCTGAGGCCTCTGAGGGGCTGGTGGAGGCAGAAAGCTCATCGGGGCACCAAAGAAAGGCTTGGAAAGGAAAAGGCAAAAGTGAAAAGGACAGAAAGGTCTCATTAAAGGAGAAAAATACATTTTTATTTACTGGGGCAGCGTCAGGATTGTGGAAGTCAGCGGAGGGCAGTAAGGTCTGCTTGGAGGCTGACAACCCAACTCCTTGTACACTGTGTGCTCCAGTCCCCGACCATCCCAGTTTGTTCCAGTGCCGTCTTGGACTGGGGAGCACCAGCTGGGTCGGTCTCATGGTGCTGAAGGGAGGGGTGGGCCTGATCCCAGAGCTCAGGGAGCACAGCAGGAATTTACAGGGGCAGCATTTACAGTAATGCCCAAGCCCTCGAGCTTGCATGAGCTCTTGCCATTTCCACCTTCTTTCTGGTGTAATAACTTGTTCCTTATTGACATTTTTATTCTGAACACAGGGAAAATGCCAGAATGGTAATTGCTGTACATGTAAAGCAAGGCACCGTGCCATATCCTCCAGATCATTTCCTTCCCCCTTCCCCCAGCTTGTAAGGCCTAGGTGGAAGTGAGCAGTGGCTTGGCTGGAGGGTGGGATACAGGACCCACATGTGCCATGGAGCTGCACCAGGTGGGTGGGGATGAAGGCACTGTCCCCTCCTCTGCAGTGACAGGGCAGAGGCAGGGCTGGATAACACTGGGTCTAATTGCTCTGCTAACAGCTAGACCTGCTGCCTCCAGGAACACTTACATCTGCAGGTATCTTGTGGTTTCTAATACCCTCAGAAATCCTTCTTGCTCTCATGTTTACCAGCATGCAATTGCAAGCCCTTGATGTCTGCATAACATCTTTCCATCTCCCAGTTCCCCACAAACAGTGACAGAGCTATGACAATCAGGAAGGAGGCAAACAAGAAGCAAAAATCCACTGGGATCCAGAGAAAACGCTGTGTCCTGCAGGATGTAAATCGAAAATAGAAATGCTTTTCCCTCCCTCCACCCTGAAAGCATTTGATAAAAAGATAATGTAGAAAATGTAGAATTTTGCAAAGCCATGGTAGCCACATTTTTTCATGCAATAAGCCAGAAAATGTTTACTGCATGAGCAGAGCAGAAGCTGTAATGTTGTAAAATGATAGTGCTGGGGAGCCATCTGCTTATTGCCTGAAGTCTGGAGCACGGGCTTTCTGCTGCCGTGTCTTGCAGAGCTGGGTGTGCACCCGTGTGCCAGGGATGTGCAATGATTCCTCATGCCCAGGGCTGGTCCTTCACGCTTGGAGAGACCTGGGGTGTGCTGGGTTACACCAGGATGGGTGGTGGCTGGAGATGGCAGGCTCTGGGGATGCAGCAGGAGGATCTGGTTCTCAAAGCAGGTAGCAAAGCAAGCCTGGGGCAAACAAGCAGCCCCATGAGCTCAAGGGCTCTCAGGATGCCTTTGGAGGGGGATTTCACTGCCGCAGCACCGACAAGGGGCACATCAGAGGGCTCAGAGGGCACATCAGAGGGCTCAGAGGGCACGTCAGAGGGCTCAGCACAGCCCTCCCATGGATGTGCATGGATGAGAGCCGGGTGCATCCCAGGCTCCTCTGCCAAGGCCTCCAGGCACGCCAGCACGTGCTCGCCCGTAGTTAAGTGGGGGATAATGCATGTCTGAACAGTTGGCATTGAACTCCTAAACTCTGGAAATCAAATTGTGCCCTGCAGAACGTCTGCCCTGCTGCCACTGAGGTCAGGGGGATTTGTGGCTGCCTGTAAGAGAGCCAAATCTCTCTTTTCTTCCCCTGCTGAAGGTCATGCCACAATGCCCTCAGCATCTGGCTAATCCAGCTGGTGCCCTTCACCCACACGCAGACCTGCCCATCTCCAGTGCCCGCCAAGGCCATGCTGACTTCACCCTGGTACCCCAGCTCACACGGGAGCAGCAGGGAGCCCCAGACACCTGCAAGTGCGACAGCATGGCTGGGAGAATCAGCCTGCAAGAATCCAGTGCTCTGAATTTGGTCTGTAGCATTGTTTTGATGACAGGAGTGGTGAAATAACACCCAGGGGACAGAAGGGATACCAAAATTATGATATTGCCCTTTGGAATTATTTCACGGTCAATGTAGCTTTCCTGTCCTCATGGTGATATTTTACCCAGCCATTGCTCAGAGGATCCCTGTCTTATATTAATCCATTTCTGTTGATGCAGGGAATGAAATGCTATATTCCCCCCAGCCCTCCTGCTGTCCGTTTTGTTTCCAAGCAGCAGCTCGGGCAGCGGTGCTTGCCTGCTGCTGGGAATTCTGATGGGCTGTGGCAGAGCAGGGCTGGCCTATGGATTCATTCATCCGCCTGCTCTCTCACAAGCTGCTCGTGTATTATTGATAACCCAGGGCTGAGTGATTATTACATGTATAAATTTATTTTAATTTCTTACGATTGCTGCTGTGATTAAAGGATGTGCTGGGTTGTACGTAGCCTGGTAGTGATTAGGCACTACAAGCCATGGCAGAGATAATGTGCAGGGCCTGGCTCAGTGAAGCTGACAGATGAGACAGGACTGGTTTTCCCACACAGGCCTTTGTCCCAGACCTGCAGAGGGATTTCAGTGCCTACAGTTGCTTGGTTTCAGTTCTGGTGTGTTTGAGTGCTGGTGCTGAGCTCAATGCTGGAATGTCCCCATGCCCTAGGATTGTCTGCTCCAAGCCATGCAGGAGCAAGTGGCTTTTCTTGGGCATCTAGAAACAAAACCAAAGTTTACTGTCACTTATTTTTTTCCAACCTCTCCCATTTTCCATGGAATGATGAACTTTGGACTGGAATTATAAAGGTATCATACAACATCACAGAGTATCCTGAGTTGGAAAGGACATCTGGGTATTGAGTTCAGTGATCTTAGGTATTTAGGCAGTTAAAGATGGAGAGAAAAGCTGAGGAGGATGAGGTGGTTATGCCCTCTTCACTTGCCCCATAGACACTGACCTGCATTTTTAATGTCTCAATATCTGACCATTAGGGTCAAGTAAAGCTAATTGTGTGAGCAATTCTGTTGACTTAGTTATTCCTGTAAACATTGACAGAATCAGCTCTCCTATTCCTCAACAGGAAACACTTCCCAGCAGAAAATACAAACAAATTGCTCTTCATATCAGAGCATTTTAAAATAAAAATATCAATAAGGAGCTAAGTCAAAACTGCATTTTTGATTCAACAGATTATTCAGCAGAAAACACGAAAACAATGAAGCTCCTCTGAGGATGGTAATCAGCACACGCAGACATATTGCTTTTTCAGATCACAAAATCTCAATACCCAAGATCAGTAGAAAACTAAGCAGAAAATGCTTTTTATAGGATTCAAGTTCCAATTAAATTAGAGCAGATTATTCAACAAGAAAGCCTACAAAATGAAGTCTTGGTTTATGTATTGGAAAGCAAAATGCAAATATGTTGCTTTCCGGCTCACAGGGTTTCAAACCAAAAGACAAACTTACTTTAAGTAAAAAATATTTCATTCAAATTCTGGGGGAATCGACTCAAGTAACTGATCCTCAACTGAATTATTCAGCTTTTTTATCAACAGACTTATTTCTTCCCTCTTTATTCTTAATTTGCCTATTCATAAATCCCACTGCTTTGTCAGTCATAAGAAATACTTTCCAGTGGCTTTGACAAAGCAGAAATTAGCAGGGAAGAGAACTGGCACATAACCGCCTCACTGCAGAACGCTTCCTTGCAGCGTAAGGTATTTTTCTCTTCTGGAGCTTTAATGCCAGCAGAAATCAATGTGAGATCTGAGCTCACCCTCCCACCCAATGCTGACTGCAGGGCTTCAGCCAGGCTTTGGGCTCCCCATGGTGGCTGTGTTGGACCTGTGGTCCCCAGAACACGTGTGGGGGGTCCTGGTGCTCCTGCCCTCCCAAGCGTCCCTGTGGCATGCTCATGGGAAGAGCTTTGCTTTTAGCAACGCCGACCTGGGCCCAGAGGTCCTGCAGGGCAGGAGATCATGCTCTTCAGCCAGCAGCTCTGCTACTCCATCTCCTTTGCTCTTAACCACTGACATCTTCTTCCCACCTGGAATTGCCTGGCTTTGACTTGGAGCCATTGGATCTCATTCCGTGAGCTTGTGAGGGTTGGGGGTGTTTCTAAAGGAAACACCAGTGATCATAAATATTTCTTTTTGATCTGCACGCATCAACCTCTGGTGATCTGAAGAAGATTACAGCAAGAGTTTGAGTCAGAGCAGTAGAGCTAGATGAAAATCTTAGTTCTGTAATTTTATGAGGAAATAGGAAATATTTTAACAGGAAGATTAAATGTATCTTTAAATACAGAACTTAAAAAGAAGAAAGGGATTTGTTCAGTTGACACACCGGAGGAGTTGTAGGAACCTTAGAAACAATTTGTAAAACCTCATTAAATAGGAGAATGTTCTGCAAATCCATCCAGTTTTCCTGAAGAACTTTGAACCTTCCTTCTCCCTCTGGTCTGCAGCGATTTACTGCTGTGTTTATAGAGCAGTAACTGGCCTGCAGGCCCCACAAGCTGCATCCTGGCACCCTGGGGCTGTGATGTGGGATAGAAAAGAGTCAGGGTCCCTCCTCATAACCAATTCTGATCTCCCAGTTCCCTCAGTTTCACCATGAGGCTCGTGTTGGTGGAAGGAATGGAAAGAGCAGTGGAGCCTTAGGTCAGAGGTGTGACTTTGAGGGTGATCTTCTTTCTGCTCTGGAAACATCGCCTTATGTTTCTGCTGCAAAGCAGCTTCTGTTCCTCACCTCCTTGTTTTGAGGTGCTGCAGGAGGGCCATGGGGATGGTTTTGCCCTTCTCCCCTCTCTCTGCAGGCTGGGAGGGGACAGTGAGGAGCTGCAGGGTTGGGGGTGGTTGCCAGAGAAGCAGTGACAGGGTGATAGCTGGGACGTGGCACCCTGCGAGTGGGAACGCGCCCCCAGCCTGCCCAGCCCTGCTGCGAGCGCTCGGCGTGCTGCAGCCTCGTGCCTCCTGGGATGTCACAGGAACATTGGAGCTTTTGGAAGCAGCCCAGAGAGCAGCTGGGGTTTCTGGCACCTGGGAAGCTCTTGAAGATGGTTTACATGCTTGACAGGCACTTGGATGTGCTGCTGCTGGAACAGGGATGTCCCTTCACTTTTCTCTCCCTTCTTTCTCGTGTGGGGGTGAGGGTTCCCCACCCTTCGGTGCTCCAGCTGTGAGGGAGGGAGACTCCCTGCACAAGGAGTCTGGGGAATGGCACGGCTCCAGGGTTCTCCTGGCAGTTTCCCAGCCTTCCCCAGCAGGCTGGCAAGGCGACCTTGACTCGTCTCATGGAGCAATCAGACCCTGTAGCTGCTGCTGCTACTGCTTAGCACTGGCTTCGTGCTTCTCATGCCTCCTTCTCTCTGGTGGCAGAGGATATGGATTTGGGGGAGAAGGTTTCTTGCCAACCTCCTTAAGAGATTGCAATGTCCACCTGAGGGTGGCAGCAGAATGGAACCCCAGCCCATATCCTCTTCCTCCTGTGACCTCTGCCTTGTGCCACAAGGGAAGGGTCACAGGTACCAACAGCAGAGAGGCTGGGATTCTCTCAGGATGGAGCTTTATCAAACCCTCAGCACTGCTGAATTAGTGGCTTTTAGGTCCTGTTTTAGAGCTAGGGAACAGCTCAACTTTTGATGGAAAGAGGGGACAAAGCAGAGGATAGGGGATGCCTGTGGTCTGGGGGAGCTGAGGAGGGAGAGGGAGAGAAGGAAAGGGAGGGGAGATAAAAGGGCTTCTTCCTCCATCTCATTCCCCATGAGGGTGGCTGGAACAGCCCACAGTGTCTGCTCCCTGCAGAGGGTTTTCTGCAGAGCTCCCTGCTCCACCAGGAGAGAATGAGAAAGCAATGTCAAATATATGTTTGAAATGTCAACAGAAGGGCCCTGCAAGATTGACAGTAGTCTCGTGAAATATTTCATTCTTTCTCTCATTATGAAGAGAGATGTTATTCTGGATGACAGATAAATTCAGGGGGAACAGGGCAAGGGAGGAGGGGGGCAGAGGGGGAAGAAGTGTGCAGGGAGAGGAAGGGACCGGCTGTCTCCCTCTCTCACTGTACCCCTAACAGGGTGCCTCTTACTCATCATAGTAAATATGGGCTGCTGCTTCATTATCTCAGCCTCCTTCATTTCTATCAGCATATTTCCCCTTTCTGCTGCCTTTATCTCTGCATAGATGCCTGTTGCAAAGCCCACCTGCACTCTGCTCCCCCAGCCCCAGACAGCCCTGGCACAGCCCACCCCAAAAGCACGGGGACACCAGTGGTGGTACAGGGCCCTTGGTGGGACAGCCACAAGGGAGCCAAATGTGACACTGTCTTGGTTTGAAAAGGTAGGTGTCTGCTAAGGAAGGCAGGAGCCTTCCTTAAAATAGAAAATGTAAACTCCCTCCCTCTGAATTCTTGTAATTTTGAAATTAAGGGGCTCTCAGCAAAGATACGGGAATAGGAATACCAGTTCTTTACTAGGAAAATTAAAAATACAAATGCAATAGTACAAAACAGCACTGCCAGAGTCAGAGCAGCCCTGGCAGGCTGTGGGTCAGGGAGGTGGCAGCAGCCCCATCCCATGGGGCTCAGCCCTCCTGCAGTGCCAGCTGTGCTTCTGCTGGAGCAGGATCCTGCACAAGGGGGGAGTTTTCCTCTGGAGCTCCAGGGCTGGGGGAGATGGGCCTGGGCTCCTCTGGGGATGCAGTGGGAAGAAAGCTGCTCCTCTGGGGATGCAGTGGGAAGAAAGCTGCTCCTCTGGGAATGCAGGGGGAAGAAAGCTGCTCCTCTGGGAATGCAGGGGGAAGAAAGCTGCTCCTCTGGGAATGCAGTGGGAAGAAAGCTGCTCCTCTGGGAATGCAGTGGGGAAGAAAGCTGCTCCTCTGGGAATGCAGTGGGCAAAGGCTGCTGTGTTGTTCCCAGGTCAGATTGTATCCAGGTAGGAATGCTTGGCTCCTCCCCTGGGCTGAGCATCTCCTCGTGGGATGATGGAATTTTATCAGGTGCATTCTCACTGGCCCATTAACAGAAGATAATGAATAACTAATGGCCCATTAACAGGCGATATCTCCTGGAGGGAGGATTGGTTGTGGAAGAGATAAAGAAAACTGCCCAATGAACAGCAGATACCTGCCCCAGCTCTGTCAGATGGGAAATACCCAGGACAGATGCAGGGATGGTGACCAGGATACCCTCCTCCTGCCTGCAGGTTTTATGCTGCCTGGGAGTTTGGTCTCGCTTTCCTACATGGGGTCTGATGCTGCAGATCCAGGGGGATGACCAGGATGAGGGGGACAGAGAGGGCGTGTCGTACTACAACATGAAATAACTCACACACCACATTAGATGTAAAAGAGAGGAAGAAAATAACCAAAAGGGAGATTTTATTTTCTGACTCTGCTATATATAGAATTATAAAATTGACAATCATAAAAGGGTGGATTGGAGGGTGAAATTGCCACCTCTCCAACCACACTGGTCAAACCAACAGTCTATCAGTTCTCTCTACCTACAAAGAAGAATGCAAAACAATCATTGCTTATATGAACAGTGTGTGAGAACTATAGTAGAAATACGTAAACATCAGAAAGTATAGAAAACTTTTAGAAGAACTTTAAAACTCTCAAAAGAACAGGGCGACGAGGGCAAGGAAAGAATTCCCCTTATGTGCTCCCTACTCAGCACCATCATCTGCTCTGCTTCCAGAGGCTCTCTGCCTGTCCCTCTGGCTCCTGAGGGGAGCACGGGGACAGCCAGGGCTCCATGGCACCCTGCCCTGCCATCAGCACGTGGTGACAGTGACACCCGATCTGGTGGCTCTGCCTCGCCAGGGCTGGCACTCCGAGTGGGAGAGGGCTGGACATCTGCAAACAAGCTCACCTGGAGCCTCCATCATCTGCTAAAGGCAGTAACAGCCATAATCCAACTGAGGCCATGTGAGTGAGGCCAGAAGTGGCTCAGGAAGCATCTTGCCACCCCTGCAATTCCTAAGATAGAAAAGAAGTCAGTTTCCAACAGCCACAGAGATGAAAAATTCCAATATCAGTTAAAGAAAAAAAAAAATCTTGAAAGCCCTCCTTTTGATTCCACTGAATAAGCTTTTGTATGCTTTTATATGCTTTCAAAACATTTTGATAGTTGCTTTTCGTTTCTAGTTCTTTTTTGCAAACTATAAATTATCTTAGATTTATTAACCTAAAAATTTATTCTTTCTTATTTCAAATGTGTCAAAAATGGGACATTTTGACTTTTTTGAGCCTTCTTTCAGGATATTTGTGAAGTGGGTAATTTGTCACAATTGATCCTTTTTTGAGAGACTTTGAATTACAACAAACTGGTATTTACTGCTGAAAACACAGTGAGTTGACAAATTCCCAAACCAGCCACGGTGATTTCAGGTCTCCAGAGCAGAGTGGAGGAAGGTTTAGGTACATGACAAGGAGCTTTAGACCCTGGGTGGGGATGCTGAGAATGGGCACTTCTTGGACTTTTCCAGCTCTGTGCAGAGAGCTGGAGCTGAGAAGGGTGCCAGTGTCCCCTCCTGAGTCCCTCTGGGCCTCCCCTGTCCCTGCCATGGAGCAGAACAGCTCCATGACTCCCCTTGCAGCTCCCCACAGAAACCACAAGCACTGGCATCACTGGCATCCATGCTGCTGGACTCATTGCAGCGTTAAACCTTGATAAATGCCTTTAATATTTAATTGGTCTCTGAAAAACATAAATAGGCAGGATAGTAAATGCAACTTGTCAGGCAGAGTAAGGCCAGTAATGAATGTTACCCACGACTGGTGGCATCTGCAAAATGCCCTAAAAGTGTGGTTTGAAACCAAGGGCTTGGGAGGTGTTTCCTACTTTTGTTTCCCAGACAGAGTCTGTAGGTGCTCAAACGTGGGACTTTCATTTTGGAAATGGGATGTGGGATTCCTTACACACCCTCCACCGTGTCTGCTGACAAGGTCACCAGAGGTTCTCCTGCTCCAGCCTCTGTCGGTGGCCTCAGCCAAGCAGGAGATGGGAGTTCCAATCATTAAAAACTGTTTCCTAATGGTCCAGCAGTTTCTGTGCCATTTACAGTAGTAGATGGGGGCAAAAAGCACTGGGAAGTTCAGACTGGAATAAGGCCACAGAGCCAAATTAGGAGTCCGGGGGCACAATGCAGCACTGTAAAGTTGCATCTGCTCAGAATGTTGCAGGATTTGCCCACAAATTCTCACCTCCAGCTGTGACAGGTTTTCTGAGGGCTTCAGCCACAGCACCACATGTCCTGGAGTCTGTCCATGCCTTGGGAGGTCAATTCCACTGCCCCACTGTGACATGAGATCACAATCAAGAGCTCCAGCCTGGCTATGGGCAAGTTATGGATTCTGCAGTGGGTGTATGGGCAGGTAACCCTTGGGGAAATGAAAACAAACAA